AGAGTTTGACTTCCGCAGCTACGACCCTGAGGGCGTGATCTTCTTCGCCGGAGGTCACCTAAACAGCTCCTGGATCGTTCTGGCGATGCACCATGGGAAGCTGGAACTACAGCTTAAATACGGCAGCGTCAGTAGGGTCACCAGCAGCGGTCCCATTGTCAATGACGGCCAGTGGAGAAAGGTTAGAGTTTTTTGTTGTTGTTGTGAACAGTAATACGCTGTCTACATAAGCTGATTGAAGGCTTCTTTAAATGTCTTGTTTTCTTTAAGATCTCGGTGGAGGAACAGGGGCGGAGTCTCGTGATAAAGATTGACAGGGAGGCCGTCATGAAGATTGCAGTGAACGGTGATCTGTTTACGCTCAAGAAAGGCATGCACGAACTCAACCTCACCGTGGGAGGAGTCCCTTTCAGAGAGGACGGCCTCGTCAATCAGGTGTTTATTTGTATGTGCTCGTGTGTTATCCCGAACACGTACCAAAGAGAGATGTTCTTTACATAGTTCTCAACTGCTGTGATCATCACATAGGTGAACCCCCGTCTGGATGGCTGTATGAAGGACTGGAGGTGGTTGACGGGCGAAGACACGTCCATACAAGAAACCATTCGGTCCAACGACAACATGCAGTGCTTCAGCACGGAGGTTCCTGGAGCGTATTACCCCGGCACAGGCTTCGCTCTCTTCAACATCAGCTATGGTGCAGTGTGTGTGCATGTGTGGGGGTGTTACGCACATTGCAGTAGTTAGTCAATGTTCAATTTGTTTGGGTGAATGTTTGCTCCCGTCAAACACCTACGGTTTGTTTGTCGATACAGTTCATGACCCGCTGTTTTCTCTCTCTCTCTCTCTTCCTGTTATTGTCACTTCAGAGTCACAGAACCTGAGCGTACAGTTGACTCTGCGTCCGACTTCTGCGATCGGAGTGCTGTTTGCACTTGTTCACCAGGACAGAGTCCCTCTCTCCATCGCTCTGGCCGACTATCATCCCGGCACTGATGAATGGCGAGATGTGAGTAATTAATTAATTACTGTGTGTGTGTGTGTGTGTGTGTGTGTGTGTGTGTGTGTGTGTGTGTGTGTGTGAAATGAGTTCCTGTGTTTGATCTCAACACTGACCTTTTTTGTGTGCTTTCAGTTTATTCTGGTATCTGTAGGTAATGTCATTGTTGCCGGCTCTCCCGCCCCCCTGTGTGACGGCGAGAGTCATGAAATCCACGTGACGATCTCAGGCAACCAAACCCTGCTGCTGGTCGATGGCCGGTCTGGACGTAGTGAAGACATCGAAATTCCTGCTTACGTCCTGTCACAGTCCAGCACCTTTATAGGAGGCCTCCCTGGTGAGGACACATTTAGTAGGTTGTGATTCATGCGCTATGTAGGGTGTTGTTTTGTAGGGTGTTGGGTTTTTTTTGTTTTTTTTTGCAGTAAAAGTGTTTAGTGGAGATGCTAAGTATTAAAATAATAGAGGCATGTAAAGCTGCCAGACATTATTCTATACTCGGGTGGAAATGAAGGATTCATAATTAATTTATAGCTTGTAATTTTTTTTAAATTTTTTTTTGATACTTAAATAATTATAGCTTGTAATTTAACAAAAACATGCACATTGTCGGCTGTTCATGTATCTTGCTTCAGTGAAGATAAATGGTTGCTCTCGAACGTGTCCAGAGACGAAACAATTACTTGCCACATGTAGATTTTAAGATCGCAAAGCCACACTGAGCTGATCGATTGAATTTGTTTTTTCTCCCAATCCCTCTCTGAACACTCTCATGCTTCCTCATGTCAGCAAAAAAAAAAGTCTTACCTAGGGAGTGATGAGGAGAGATCCAAAGTTGTCACTTCTGCAGTGACTGGCAGCTGATTAAATAACTCAAAATAAGGATTTAGTTTTTTTTCCTCCTTGATGAGAAATGCCATGTGTACTTGATAAAAAGTGTTGGTTAGTGTGTTTGCTGAGTCTGACAGATTCAACACACAGACTAAGGGCTCCCACACATCTGCTGGATCACATGTTGTTGTTCCTTCCCTCAGATGTTTCCCTGGTGTCCACGCTGGTGTCGGCGCCCTACAGCGGCTGCATGGAGGTCAGTGTTAACGGACGGTCTCTGGACTTGGACCAGGCCATCCACAAACACAACGACATCCGCTCACACTCCTGCCCCCTGCTGGACTCTCACCAGTGACTAGCGCATTAGTCTGCCAACGCTGATCCATTGGTAGTTCATTGAGGCAATGGGGATTTTTTTGTTTCCAATATATTGATAAAAGCTTTGACCAGTAGGGAGATGTTTTGGATTGGAATGTTAAGAAAACAAAAGCTGGACCAGGCGTTTGTGGTTCAGCTGGAGCCTTATTCCAGGATCACGCTGTCCTATTACTGTGATGACACTGCTGTCTAGAGGCATTTGCAGGGATTTTCACAGTAGTCCCAGTATCATGACTCAGTAAGTTAGTCAGCCAATGAGCAATGTCCCTTGTACTCGGCAGAAGATATGGGAATAAATGCTGCACAACATTGCCTCAAAAACTGCCCATGAATCACGGCCTCTTAAGCCCACAAGAACACACAGGGCCTTATCTAGCGCACGGTCCAATGGCTGGTCTTGGGTCAGCCTACTATGCCTAGCATCCTGTGCAGATCTGACTGGGACTTTGTAGGCTGTGACTCCTCGCTGCAGCAACTCAGCTGGTAGAGCTGTGGTCATGTTGCTTACATCCAGTCCACCTAAGGCCCTCGTCACAAAGCTTGAAATAATCAAGTGCTCATGTAGAATCTGATGAAATGAGAGAAAAAAAAACGGGAACCAGAAATCTAGTCAGCTACCCTACTCAGAGAAAATGTGTGACTAGGTGCTCAGATCTTAACGAGTGTTTGTCGCATAATGACTTTAGGGGTTGATCGGGGACTAAATCAATCTTATTTGCTCCTGGCAAGCTGAATCCCCTCCGTCACCACAGCAGGGGTGGCGCGGTATTAGGCACAACTTTGCGTTCTGTAGAAAACCTTGCACATTGTTGCAGGCAGCAATGGACTGCGTGTGAATCTTCTTGATTTCTTCTCGACTGAAGCGGCACTCCATGTCTGCCTGCAACCTTAAAACTCAACCGTGTGCCTACAAAGAACAACCAACCCACACTTCAGAACAGCTTCCCTCCTAACCAGTGAATCACTTCACAAAGGTGCAGTGCTGTAACACACATGCAGAGCTTCTCCTGATACAATGGTGCACTCATTGCAGTTATTAATACACTATGCATTACCACCTGTGCATTTTGGAGTATTACAGTCTTTTAAAGACCTGACTAACTTCATCACAAAGGCCCCTTCTTTCCCTCAGAATCACCCAAACACATAACTAATAGCTGCCATATACCGATCCGAGGATGCTAGATTAGTCTCAGAAGCACAGGGAGACAGGAAGGGGCCCTCACCATGAAGGAGAGAGACTGAGCACTGCATCGAACGCACCACACAAGCTACTGAGAGAGAGAAAGAAAGAGTGCGCTGTAATATACTGAATATGTAAATAATGTGACTGTACAATGCTTTGTAGAAGACAGAAAAAACACTACCTTATGCTCACTGAGGTTTCCTGCACATTTAAGTTGTAACAAAACAGCAATCTGAGTCTCTGAACTTCATCTGCTTCCTGCAAATGTTTGAGCGACAAATAAAAAAACTATTTTCTTGAAGTAGAAGGTGGGCGAGCAATAGCCAGGGATCAAGGTAACATACATCTTTAGGGACTTTTTTTAATTTGATTTTATAGGTGCTGAGCAAATGAAAACACAATAAAAACAAAGAATTACAGGAGCATTGTGACTGAGAATACCAAAAGGGCTCCAGTGTTATTTTACTTCCCTCTTATGTATCATCTAGTTTTCTGATGAATGAATGCCAGAATATACAGCTTGACGAGTTATTATTTTAAATTTTTTTTTTTTTTTTTTATCACGTGTTGTATGTTGAACTTATGTCTTTAGTTTTCACTTTAACTGCCAGTATGTGTACGATGCTGAGAGGAGTCTGCCTTTTGAGTTTTAACTTCCCTCAACAGTGAAAATCTTATTTAAAAACAAAAATAAAAGCAGTTGTATGAACATTATAGAGTAAAATTGTATTTTCAAAAAACGCATTTGTCTGCTGTGTGGTTACTTCAACAAACTTGTCATGTCTTGCTCAGTGTGTGACATGTCATTAATGTTCTAAACTTAAGGTTTACCTGATAAGCTGGCTTTTTCCAATATAGCTTTTTGGTTGAACAAAATCATTTAAATTCTCTTGAATTGAACTTTTTATTTGTAAGAGGAAGAAATTGTGTGATTTACATGTATAGTTCCTCTTCAAACACCTGCTTCTGGAGTAAAAGAAGTACTGGTTAAACTTTAAAACATGGAAAGAAAAAGGTCAACGTTTTAGGAAATACACTTTATATATTTCCTAAAGGTGCCTCTTTAATACATAATGTATTTTAAAGCAGCTACATCCCACAGTAGTTAACATGCATCATCAATAATATATACAGTGTACTGACTTTAAAGTGCACATTAAATGATTCACACTTACATAATGCAATAACGGCAACATCATCGTTGTTTACTCTCTATTTCACATTCAAGAAAGCCCTTTTATTTGCTCGTACAGTAGTTAATATATAGTGAGACGATGAAGACCTTTAATCCAGTCTACACAAACTAGAATAGAAACGACTATCGGGCCACAGTCAAGTATACGATGATACACCTATTCACATGTGATAAGCTTCTTAAGGCCTTAGCTTTAGGTAAAAGCTTTTTAGGAAATACACGTATTTGCTTTCTTGCTGAGAGTGAGATGGCATCTGATGCCAAGAAAGAGTCCACAGTTTTAAACTTCATTTTCTGTGCATATTAAACTATGGAAATATACGGCGTTAATTAGTGAGATTTACGGTTCTCTGGTGGGCGGCTTTTGTTTCTAGCTGTCTTCCCCCCCCCCCCCTGTTTCCGGTCGTTGTGCTAAGCTAAGTTAGCAGGCTGCTGGCTGTGGCTGAGGAGAGGGGTGTCAATCTCCTCATGCAACTCAAGAGATGCAAAAAAAGCATATTTCCCAAACCGTTTCCTTTGAATGAATTCACATGGAATAACTTAATCATGTCTATATATAGTATAATTACACTACACAGCTACACATCTGTGTCTGTGCCACATGAAGAGTAGCATAACTATCAGTACAGTGTAGTTGAGAAGCTCACTGATTGTTTTCCATCTACAAGGTCACCTATGAAATGTCTTGTGCTACATTCAGTCCGACCAAATCAAGACGTTATTTCTCTATCGTGCCCCAGATGTTGGTGTCGTGGCTCAGCAGGCGTAAGGCGGCGGTTTCTCAAAGGGGCTGTAGGCGGATCCGTAGAGGACAGGAGCGTTGGGTGTCAGCATGTAGCCCCCTGGTTCCTGGGTGGCTCCCTGAGGCTGTGGCTGAGTCTGAGAGGGCTGCTGGCTCTGGTTCTCCTCAGACAGGCAGGAATTGGAGGCAGTACCTCCCTCAGGGATCATCTGGGGAGTAGCAGGTGGCTGATAGTTGCTGTTGTGCTGTGGGAGAGGTGAAGAGATGGGGAGTGGTAGCTTGTATGTGGAAGAAGAGCCAAAGATACCTCAATTATTTCTGACATTTTTATGTGAGGCATGGTTTTTATTCTCTTTATGTAGTTTGGTCCTCTGGTAGCAGTCACAGGTTTATTAGCAAATATTAGCAATAATCAGGAATAAATCTGTGAGAATCAAACTCAATTCACCATAATATGAATAAAACTACGCCTCTGCTAATTAGTGATTGGCTTGCTTATGAATTACAGCTCCTGTCACGGTTTACTTTGAAACATCAATCAGAACCTGTTTTTAACAGGTTCTTGGACGACCGTCATCACAATGATCTCATGAAACAATACCAGAAGAAGAATGTACAGACATGCTCTGTGAAACTATTTAGGTGCAGTAGCGGTGCTTTGATTTGAATGCTAACGTCAGTCAGCATGCTAACATAATGGCAATGGTAATAGCAAGTATGTTTATTTGCTTCGGTAAAGTGTTAGCATGCTAATATTTGCTAATTAGCATTAAACACAAAAGTACAGCTGAGGCTGATGGGAATGTCATTAGTCTTGCATGTATTTGATCATGAGCCAAAGTTTTACAAATACATTTTTTTACTTGATGGCGCTAGATGAAAAGTTACAGGATCAAGAAAGCAATAACAAGTCATCCTGAGGGGACCATGAATGTTTCTACTAAATTTCATGGTGATTCATATGATAGCTTTTGAGATCTTTCACTAAAAAAACCACAAATGTCAACCTAATGGTGGCGCTAGAGGAAAGTCAGGATTACCAAACCCTGTTGGGTTCATCCTCTGGGCACCATGCATTTCAAAATGTCATAGTAATCCATCACATCGTTGTTGAGATATTTCAGTCTGAACCAAAGTGATGGACCGACCGACCGATCGACACCACTGTGTTTAAAAATCATCTTTATGTAATTAATGAAGAAACAGGGTTGATCCCTCAGTAGACATGCAGCAGTAAGATTGAGGTGGTTTTAGTGAGGTTGTGCAGGTATCGCTCTTAGGAATGTGACGTGTCAGCAGTGCAGATGAATAGTTTTCGTTCTGATCAGCTGCTTTGATGTTAGAATGAAACGGCTGTGCTAGTTCAGCAAAAATAAATGTGATCCAGTGCTGCTCATCTGGTTGCCAAACTAATACACAGGAATGGAAAATTGGCCTTTTTCACAGCAGACGTTTTGACTTGTCATAGTAAGAATAGCACAGATTACATTAACAATGGCTCAGTTATATTCAAGTGTCCCAGTAAACCAACATGCACAATACCAGGACCCTTGAACTGAGGCAGCTTAATTAAATTCAGCCATAAATGATTTTATTATTCACAACTGTTTATTTTCCTACAGCGTCATGGACATGTGTCTCCTGTGAAAAGCACCTATTATTGGTTCTTTGTGGTGTTGTACCTGCATGGTCATTGGATAGTTGGGGTAGGTGGGCAGAGATTGTGCTGAAGGGCAGAAGCCAGCGTAGGTGACCATGTGCTGGGTCGGGTTGTACAAGATGTGGGGTGGCGGCGTTGGGCTGGCAGCCACCTGAGGAGTCGGCTTCTGCTGCAGGAAACGGTAAAAACGTCTTTCAATAAGATGGGAAATCATCAAATGAAGCTTGAAGGAAAATGTGAGTGAGCGTGCAGTTGCACATGAAACACACACTTTTATTAAGATCAGAGATATGTATGTCTTTGAAACATTGACTTATGGGAATATGAGTTTTTAGTCCTTTCGTGTATGAGCAGTAAAATGTTTGAAAATGTAGTAAGTGAGGCAGTGAAACAAAAAGATATCCTCACATAAATCAATATTATATTTCAGACAAAGCTTCGGTAAAGTCAACAGATCAAAAAGAAGGTGAAATTATATTCTGTTGATGCATCATTTTTGACAGTTAATTCAGGAACTATGTTGATCAGATTCAGACAGAGCACACGTCCACTTTGAGTGACAAATATCACCTTTAATAGCTTTGAAACAAGCTGTAGTGAGCGAGTTGACATTAAAATAATGACGTACGATCCTGGAGCTTAGGATCCTTTTGATTTACACACAACAAACAGATGTTAGATGTTTTACGATGTGCAGGGATACTGCAAGTGGCCTGCAGGCATTAAAGAGAGGTAAGTAGTTTTAAGACAACAAGTGTATTAAAAATCCCTCGTCACAGTCCATTTGTGAGCCATGTAATATTACAAGCTTTTATATTTTATCTCAGGACTCCGACTGCTTTTAAATCGTCTTATTTTCTTTGCCCTTCACTCCAAAGAGCACTTTTGTACTTCTTGTCTGTAAAGTAAAGATGCACTCCAATTTTCTCCTGCTCACCATATCCTTGTACGCTCCGAGCACGGCGGCGGTGATGATGCCCAGGAACAAGCCGAGCACGTTGAGCACCACCGAGGCCCACAGCAGGCGGTGCAGGTGGATCACATCCCAGCAGCTGCTGACCCCGGTGAACGCGTAGTACTGTGTGTGGAACTCTGTGCTGGAAGATGAAGAGAGCAGGAGTCAGTGCTCATCGTAAGATGGCAAGGATGACTCTGGCTTTGCATTTTGTATGCTTCTGGCCATACATCACAGAGCGTGTGTACAAGAGGCCTTCTTCACAGCAGACATTTCACTTGTCATAGCGGGAAAAGCACTGATCTACTTTGTTCCATTTCAATGACTCACTATATTTAACAAAAATGTCCTGCCATGAAAAAGGCCTAATGTATGGCAACCATTTTCCACAGTACATCACAGTATTTTTTTTAAATCTTCCAAGGAGGGAAGAAATCAAAGAATCCCTCACACTGTCCATATGACTTTATTAAGCCTGCCAGGCCGCCATTCATCGGCTAATAACTTAGTGGTAACGTAGTTGCAAGCAGGGGTGGGACTTTCTTGGAAAGCTCTTCCTCTTTGGTGTGTGTTCGAGAGGTCATGGAAAAACTCTCAACGTCCTGGGTTTGAATGTTGGCTGTGGAATAGGAACTTCTTTAATGCAAGAAAGCGCCAAAATCACAAGAGTGATTTTTCCAACAGTGGAGCCTGTAGATGCAGCCAGCATTTAAATCTAGGATGCTGTTTTTACCCCGCTCTCTACTTTACTGTATTATCTCTCTATTATAACATTATTATTATAAGAATATATTTACAAACATGTTCACTGTAATGGACACCCGCACACCAGAAAGGTTCAAGTTTTTGCAATAACTGCTACAGTGTAGTTGAATGAATTGTTGTCGCCTGGAAGTAAAAAGTTGGAATGAAGTGTGTGAAAATACTCTGCAGTAATGGAAAGCACATGCAAATTGAAGTTTAATGGGATTAAAACATGCACCCAGCTGTATGGTCTGTGTGTATCCCGAGTAAGGTGCAGCCACACGGACACCGAAACAAATGGCAACAGCTGGTGGTCGTCTCACCTCGCACAGTTGTACAGGTAGCAGCAGTAGCAGGTGTTGCTCCTCAGCTTCAGCTTGCACGCTTTGTCAAACGAGCGGCATGTCACCTGCAGCGTGAGAGGTCTGATGAGTTAAAGGGGCTCTCGTGGGCGTTTTAATCACTTGTGATAAAAGTTGTGTTAACCTCATGAAAACAGATGCAACAGCCAGATAAGCAGGAGCTGGACGAACAGTTTGGACAAAGAAATGCATGAAGAAACATGTCTCTGTGTCAGCATACCATTTCCAGAACTTCTATTTGCTTAGAATGCAGTGACTGCTTTAAATGCAGTAACATTATTGGACCACTAGATGTCTCTACACACTTTGTGGATTTTTCATTTAAGTACAGAAAGGCTGCAAGAACACAGAATATAATCCTAAAATTAACCTAAATTGCATTTCATTTACGACATTTCAAAGACAATAACTGAGAAACAAAAATGTAAAGCTGTGATGTAGTTCGTTGTATATGAATCACCTCAGTATAGTAGTTATCGTAGGAGTAGCCTGCTCCACTGGCGTAAAAGTCACACATGTCCTCCTGCAAGGGCCTTATGTCCTGTGTGTTAGAAAGATTAGAAAGAGAGACAAGAGACTTGTTAAATACGCAAGCCACACACAAACGCACAACCTAATATAGGATGTATACGGTAATCGACTTGTCATACACCACAGCTGCAATCGAAATGTTTTTTCCCTCTTTTCTGGAGTAAATCTCCATGATTTAAGGGTTTCAGTAATGATGCACTTTTTGCATGAACCCTGGTTGGTGTCATTCTGTCCATCCTGTTTCTGTGTCACTGCAGCAGTGAAGGTTTACAACATGTGCCTGCTCAGACCCGTCCACTGCACTGAACTACTAACCCTACAGCATTAAACCTCACCGGGCTTTATATATATATATCGGGAAAGGTAATATCATCATTTTCACTGTCCAAAGCTTGAAGGTGCAATAAATATGAATTTTACTGTCCCGTGAGCGCAAAATAAATATACCTGCAGAGGGTTTGATAGCACGGCTGATCAATATATGTGACTCTGTGCCAGGTTTTTGAACTCTCTCTGGTTCATACTCATTAAGATACTCATTCAAATTCATTAAGCTGATGTGACAAACTGAGGTGTTCGTGTATCCAAACACAGAGAACATCTCAGATATCCAGTAAGGAAGCAACAATAATGAATTAACCTTATTTGACCCCTCTGCATTTTCTGTTCATTTCCTTTAAAACATATTCAGGTATTTGTACACATTTTATTTCAGGTGTAGTCATTTCGTGTGGGAGTTGTTTAAAATCTAGAGAGTTTGTAATTGTCCTCTGACTGATGCCATGATGGGGACAAATGATGTTAAACTGACCAATTATGAAAATGTTTAATGAGGCTTCTTCTTGTGAAAACAAAGAAGGAAATACAGACATAATGTCGGAGTGAATACGTTTGTAGTGAGACGGAGAATAAAAGGGAGACAAAAATCTTTATGGAATTACTTTTAATTTCCTAATTTTTCTTTCCAAAAATACAGTTTGTGTATACATCCGACCATTGCAAGGATGTTTCCTGGAAATCAATTCTCAGTTGAAATAGAGTTAAAGATGTATTTTTGGTAAAGTGTATGCATCTTCAGTTGTTGCATATTTTGTGTTTTTCTGTAGTGTGTATTTGTTTGCATCCTAATAAAAGAGTTTTCACACAAGTTGTTTATCTTCTTGACACATTTAATCAGCCCTGCTATGCCGGATGTTTTCCCAGCAGCTCTCTGCAGGTCGGGCACTGAGATTAGTCTCGTCTACCTGTCTGGTGCCGTGATGGCAGCTATACCGACACTTCTGTCTGGTTGCATCTGCAAAGTTCCTGATCTCAGTAATGTGTCTGTGCCAGTCTTAATATGTGTTTCCGTAGGCTGAGTTTCTGTCGACCTAAGCATGTGTGAATTCATTTGGTGTGTGAATGTGTGTTTAAGGGTTTGTTCGAACAAAAAAAACAGGTGCATTAGTTTGAATTTCTTTTTTTTCAGTGCAGGCATGTAAATACATTTTATACTTACGATGAACTCTGAAGCGATGATCCCGTCCACAATGGCACAGAAGAAAGACGCAATGACTCCGATGCTGATGAAGATGATCGCTGCCACCAGCTTAAAGAGATCAAGATAGTAAAGTCATTTTCTTGACTATTTAATAACTTATTTATTCATTAATATGCCCGAATTTGAATACAAAAAAACAAAGTATACATTCTATCATATTATCATAAGCTTTACACACACACTCTGCGTGTGTGTGTGTGTGTGCGCGCGAGTGTGTGTGTGTGTGCGTGTGTGTGTCCTGATTGGTTTCCTGCGTCTGTCCTGCAGGACGATAAAGTAAATGTATGGCTTCTTGCTCTGCCAATGCAGAGGTGCTTTGTGGGTAGATTTATGGGCACAGAGGAGACGTACAGGACAGAGGGCCTTTTGTACCAGCAAGGTCAATCTAATTCTCCCAATCTGATACACACGCACACACACACACACACACACACACACAATGTTGCAAACTGAGCCCAATAATGTGATCACTGATCAATAACCTTAAATCCGGGACACACACCATTTAGCTTTTACTGTAAAACAAAGTACTTTTCTGATATTACAGCCCCCCCCCCCCCCCACACCAGCAGACCCAGCTGGCTGATCACAGATGTCTGATCATGAACTTTATCACTGAGCATCATTTACTGTCTGTTCAATCGCTCCTCCAGGACCCAACCTGCTGTATTGAAGCAAGAGATTAAAAACACACTTTTTTCTATTTATCTAATGGTAGGTGGTAGAAAGCAGTTTGTCCACACAAGCGAAAACAAGTAAGATTGTAGAGTAGTTTTTTCATAATCTAGAATATATAATCTACATAACTAATGATGCTGCATTGACGTAAGTGACTTATTTGATGCATGGGAGACTTTTGTCCCCCTTTCCTTGATTTCTATTGCCATTTAAGATCTTTAAGGTTTTCTGGACAGATTTCTTTAATCCATGAAAACCTTTCCTGGTTGAATTATGCTGAAGTAGCACAAGTGAGTAATTATTATTGCTTATTTTTCTTGGTCCCAAAGTTCCACTAACAACAAGAGTTCTTGTTTGTGAGACTCGGGTCTAACTAAAAGTTGCTCCCAAGAAAGGATGAGAATCTAATATTTAGAGTCAACAGCCCTTTTCACTTAAGACACGTTGTCATGCCAAAGTGAGAAAATCACACGCGAATAATAAAGTCAATGATGGCTGAATTCTATTTTGCTGCATTGTTGCTGTTATTAGTAAATAATAATGTGCTTTTCCTACAATGACATCTCAAAATCTCATTTACATTTTGTGCTAGATAAAGGATTTTGTCTTTAATATGAAAACAATCATTTCCGAGATGAGGTTGACCAATGTGATGTGAGCTGGATGAATTGTTAAAGGCCCTGCACACCTGCTCAGGTGGTTTCACTTAATGTGGCTTATTGAGGTTCAGGTTGACGTTGGGTGGAGCTGTGCTGGAAATGATGTGAGGTTTTCAATTAACATCTACCACAGGCTGCACTTAAGAATTGGTTTGTTTTGTGGCAGCACGGGCTGAGAAACCTTGACTAAACAGATATTATAACAAGGGAATTTTAAAATGACTACCCCTGAATAAAGTGAAATGATAGCCTGGCTGAGAAAATACGCTTTTTTTTCTGGTGGGTTTTATCTGCCTCTGGCCCAGACTCTCCACTTCATTAGCGGTTTAAATGACTCTGCTTTTATGGGCTGCAAGTGGGAGATGAGGCCAGTAGCCGAGACAATAGAGCCTGACAACGGCATTACTTCACATTACCTTAGCACCAGCTGCCAACACATAAAACACCTCAACACACACTCTGTCGCCAAAACCCCCCAATCTCCCTCGGTACAACTGAAGCAGAGAGAAAAATCAAATGCTGTAAAAGATTAAAGACTCACAGACAAACTGTAGATGGTTTTCTGCTCTCAGGAGTCGAGTCAGTGAGGAAGCATTAAAACGACCATTGGTGGAACGTAACTAAGTATAATTACTCAAGTGCTGTACAGTTGTGCTTTTCTCAATTATTTCCACTTTATGCTACTTTATACTTTTACTCCACTACATTTCAGGGAGAAATATTGGAGTTTTTATTCCACTACATTTATGTGATAGCTACGTTTACAAGTTTTCAAATTTTACTTTAATAAAAAAAATGCAACACATAAAAGTCCAGTTACAACTGTAAAATGCTACTTTGTGATAGTTAAAGTACATTCTGCTGATATTACTTCTGTACTTGTACTTGAATACTATTTATATATCGTGGTGTTGGTACCATTTGTTAAAACTGCAGTAACTTTTATGACCAATTGAGGAAACAAGTAGTGAACACAACATTGATATGTCATCAGTTTTCAGTTGATTTGGTCGAAACGTGTTAGCGAACAGTTGCTTATTTACACATCCAGCAGGTGTGGAGCAACATTATCATTCATTTGGAGTCGTGATTGTGTCCACCTAATGAACGTGAGACCAACACTTACTCTTCTTTTAGCTCCGTTTTTGGTCTCTACCTGCTGCTGAGGGAAATATTTAGTCCTTTTGTGTCTAAATGCTGCACTATGTTCACCTGCTAGTTGTTAACTGTGTCTGCCTGGCGTTCGGTGATGAGCAGGTACTGTTCAGTGGGGTTTGTAGAGCTTTTTCATTGATAACAGCTGCTTTCTGATGCTTACAAGGAAGGGATGAGGGAAGTGAGAGGGAACCAAAACAAAACGTTGTTGGCTGGACAGCTAAACAATGAGCTGAGACTCGTTATAAAGCTAATTTGATACATTATTATTAAAATATCCATTATAGCCATTGAAGAACAGAGAGACACACCGGCTGAAAGCTTTAGAGTCGAAGATATCAGTGTTAAAGAGATAAAGACACAAGGCCGAATTTTATGGCTTCAGTAAAGATACCCATCAGGTTATGTAACTAAAGTCGCTGACCGCTGCAAGGTCTTTTTCCCCCCTGCTCAGTGGTCCAGTGACCAATCACGGCCACAGCTGGACACGCTGGTAATAAGAAACTTGTTGGGTAAAATACGGCCCTTTAAAAATGTTCACCGTTCTGCTCTCCAAGCTGCAAGGTGACCAAAAGGACGACAGTCCGTGAGCTACGGGGCAGTGAGTACAGAACAAAGGACATGAGCTACACGAATCATTTAGTCATAGACATCCAAGACATCCTACAGTGTACCAGTGCAGTGAAGCCTGTTTTAGGGAGCAGCAGGGTGAGTGCAGATAGGAGGCGAGCTTACAGACAGAATTTCATGCTCCACCATCCTTTTAAACATTTTGGAGGACAAGATAAGACAAAATGAAAAGTGGCGATATTCAAGTCATTAAGATTTATAAAAAGCTTTCTCCAAGAGATGTCAGCGAGCACAAGTGTGTGTTACGATACGCCACACATTCATGAAAAGGGTCTCTTGGGAACATAAATTGATCAGAGCAAAATGTCTTATAACTCTAAAATCCAGAGATATAACGCAAAAAGACACAACTAGACGGTTGTTTAACACGGGTGATAGATTTCTTCTTTTCTATTGTTGGTGGTATTTTTTGTTTGCATTCTTGTTTTTTATTCTATAGAGATTATTATATGGAAGTTGTTGATATTTCTGTTCTCTCACACAGACAAAAATACCATCTGTCTGTGTTTATGACCAAAACATTGCCTCAAAAACTAAACCTTTATCCTGAATAAACATGACTCAAATCTTATCCAAAGTGATGTCACAGCCATTTTGTAGATATTTGATAACTTACTTAAAGTAAATAATTTAGAAAAATATGGTCTTCACTTTTTGTAGGACTCCTGAGCTGAATTTATCTAGTAATTGTTACATATTTACTAAAGAAAACCCAGTACAAACCCTCTCCAGCATTGATTAGTGTGTGTTAACATGTGCATTTAGTCAACGACTGAATGACTTACTCAGGTGTCTACAATCAAGTCATTTCTGCAGAATTAAGGCCACAATCATCTACTTACTCAACAGCAATACGTAGTATACATGGGTTTGTACATGTTGTTCAGAAACATGTACTGTACATAAAACATATACTCAAGCCGGCTGCTCTGTATGTCCATAATTCAATGTAAGGGATTTGTAATCATGGCAACAAATAGACACAATAATAAAGTCAACATAAATGTCTGTCAAGTCAATATTCTAGATGATCTATACCTCTATTTGTATTAAGCATTTGTTTGTGTTTTATTGTTTATTGTTATTTCATTTTTTCATGTGGTAATGTTTCTATTATTGCTGTGCATTAGTTTATCATTGTAATGTATCACCAGTCGTATTAGTATGTCTGCATACTACACACAGTACATTACAATACATTTTAATTGCTCAATTGATGTGGTCCACTTCAACAGAAGGAAGGAATTTAAATATGCTCATTTCTGTAAGCAGCAGAAGATAAACTTGTTTCTGTCTGCTTACAGTTTAAACTAGAAAAGTGCTTTTTTTTTTGTTTTTTTCACGTGTTTGGGAAGTAGTGACCATACGACATGGATAAATGAGACTAGGATTATACTGCACTAGTTGTAAACTGATGTTTTTTATATAGTTTTGCTGTTACGTTATACTTTTCTTTGTTTTTGGATTCTCCGACAACTGAGAAAATCAACGTTTTCATAGACAACTAAAGGTAACGAGGGATGACATACGAATGGTCATTTCGTGAGTGATGTATTTCTTCAAGCATACAGTCACCAATGAGCACAAAAAATATCATGCTAATGGGTCCAGTGGTATAAAAGACGAGCTGTGGACAGACAGACACATACACACTCACACACACAGACACGACCGGACTCATGATCTCCCCGCGCTTACGCCTGTCTGACATAGCAGCATCATGCCCTCCATCTGCTGCTTTGTGAGGCCAGAGGAGCAAAGGCCTGTGAGATCCAGGAAGTAAGGGAAGAGCTCTCAGATGTCCGTGGCATTGTCGCTGTTGGTTACAGCGGTTGTTCTTTAATGAGCGACCTCGCTCTGCCAGCCGGCTCTCGTGTTACAGTGCTGAGCTTCAGACACAGGATGGGAAGAAGACACCTGTGTGAGAGGAACATTGTGCCACACGTGCCTCATAAGAGACACCGTAGACCGGCGCTAGTGTGGCAGCGATCTCATCATTAAAGATTAAAGCACAGACCTGGGAGCCATGCCGAAGAGGCAGACCGATACAGCAGGTATTTAATTGTCTTTGTCGATGTCTTTCCCTCTTTCTAAATGCTCACATTTACAGCCACGCACACACACACAGACACACACACACACACAACACGAGAAGTGAAACAATGCAAGGACTCAAATGGAGTGAGAGCCCACAGAAAATGTTATTTAGTAGTCTTTGTCTTTCTTAATTGATGCTTTGTTTTGAGCTAGGGTGGATGTATTAACACGCACAGACACTTGTGTGATCAGCTCTAAGAAGGGTATCTGTGCAGACCGGATTAGATACGGTACACTGTAGCGTAACGTAAGACAGCGACACCCTGGACGCCACATTAAAAATTCACAACACACACTGATATACCAGTCATGGTGACAGGTTCATCTCTATCATGCGAAGACAATATTTCAATGTGCTCTGATAACTGTCTGTTAAGTCTCTCTGTAAAGTAACTTTAAAAAACCCTGTTAACTGTTTTTACCTTAACGTATTGAGCAGTGTTTCCAGCTGACATGTTTTAAAACGTGTTGTGACTGTGGTTTCAAACACAGCAGTGCCCAGAGGTCATTTATTGGAAGTTTTGGAGGTTTTAGCACTTTTAAAATCAGTGTTCATTTTGTCAACAAAAATATTTCCCATAAGTATTCGTTGACGTCCTTTTATTGTATGACTAAATCGCAACAACAACGTAAATTAAAAACATATTGACAGCAAAAATGTTGGCAAATGCTTCGATCATTAAGCCCTAGCGAGTAAAGACAAGACAACATAGTTGGCTCTGTTACGGGATGTCAAGGGATGCTAATTTTTTTTCCTGATCAATTGTCGACCCTTGTTAAACTATCATTAGCTGTTAACAGACAAGATTAAAATGTACTATTTAGAAGAGACGAATGTCTGTGACACATTAAAAAGAATAAAATAATGAGCTTAATAGCAACTGGGTAAAGAATGACATCATGAACGCTCAATATTTCTGTCTCCTTTCGGCTGGAGCCACATCATCAGCGGTGAGTGATTACACACACCACTTGCTGTGGTGTCCACAAATCAACCTGTCTCACTGAAATATGTAAAATGACCTTGGTCTGTAAACAGAGCATTCCTTGGTGGTGGCACTTAATGTGTCAAAATTTGTGTCGGCACTACGGATACAATGCCAATGGAAAGTCGATTAGGATTGTTTTTCGAGGTGCACTCCTGAATTTAAGGCATCCTTATGACTACAGATGCTACTGTCAGAGTTCGTGACATAGTGAACATCAAGTAGACTGCTAATGCTGTGGGAGAGGAGGTGGATGGGTCAAACAACACAGGACTTTCAACCATGAGACCGGTGTTCGTGTCCTAAAGGGTTACTGAGTTATTGTAAAGTTACGTCTGTGACATTTTTCCAAAACCTAACAAAGTGGTTTTGTTGCCTAAACCTAAGTTTACTATATACTGTACCTATCTGAAGTCCAACCATGATGTTTTTCCTGTACCTCAGTGGTTTTGCTGCTTAAACACATATAGTTCAAGGTATGCTTACTTCTCATTGAATTATTTACAGCCATGAGAAACATCCCTCAGCAAAATCCATAACAGTATCATGAATCTGTTTTAGAAAACTGACTAAAGTTGGACTAAAAGTAAAGCTGAGTTCCACTGACTAAATCTTGACTGCAACAAAACAAAAGACTCATATGTGACTTACAACAACTACATTTTTCAGACTAAGACCCAAATTAAACTTGAAATTCTTGTCAAAATTAACACCGGTTCCAATAAATTGACACACAGGGGATGTTTTATAATCTAATAGTATTTCAAGGCATACAGTATATTTGAATTGAACGTTAACGAAGAAAGCTTCGCTCCTGTTTCTATTGCTACACTTGTCAAACTCTCTGTTCATGGCACAGATTCTCATTTCTAGCCGGTTGATTTTTGTCAGCTAAAGCAACAACTCTCACTAGTAGGATTTATAAACTGTAGCTAATTGAGCGAAGACTTGCAGAAATGTTTACAGCTGAATCGTTTTAAAACAAGAATGCATTTAAAGGAGTCTTACATTAGGTTACTTGATGGCTACATACATGATGTAATGACACTGAGTACAATGAGGAAAAATCTCATGTTTAGCTTAACTTACAGACAAGCAACAGGTTAGATTTATACTTTATCGCTTGTATTTTTAAACAGCTGTGAATTGAACTCCTAGCTACAGCCTTCTGACAATTATTTGGCAACATATAGGCTTATAATGTAACATACATTGTAACAGCTGGATTATAAAACACTATATTTACAAAACAAACATCTAGCTATTTGTGCTCAGATGTCAAATATGGTCTAAAGCAATCTACCGTGAAGTCTGGAATTTTGAGTCTGAAAATGTAATTGTCATTTCTTCCTTGTCACTCTTTTTTTTCTTTTTCACCAATATTTTAAGTGAGGTAGTACATAATAAATGCTAATGGAGAATAGACTGTTAAATCTTAATTGATATTGATCAAATATTTCAAAATAGGAATAAACCAGATATGAGTCATCGAGAAACTTAATTATGTAATAACACTGTATTCTCATCAACTTCTAAACTTCAACTTCTTTGCTAAATTAGATAATAATTGGGACAAATCACCATATAAAAAACAAGGACTCTCAATCTGCTAAAGTTTCTGTGTCACTGGTGTCCTCTTCAGTCCTTGCTGGGTTTCATTTCCTGTGAATGTGATACTGACGTCAACATTAGGGAACAGTTTCAGCTTCGGATTGCCACTGGCTCTTGAGCACTTGCGTTTGTCGGCCTCTTGAACGTTGCCACAAATGAAGCTGATTGGAGGTCAATTCATGGAGCTTTTGTTCACCTTTTATTGTGTTAAATTTATTTTAGAGCAGTCTGAAGGTCTCAAAGCAGAGTTTCTAATTTTGTTCTTTTACTTTGTTTACCAAGTTAGAAATTTAGGACATTTTAAAGAGTCACTTTTTTCAGACAGGTCTACCTGAAAGTGTCTCTGTTGTACAGAGAGGCACTTTGATGATAATGCAGCTCTGTCAGTAACTGACCAATACTAATGCAATTTCCCCTCCTGTCATAGAAATCTCGATCCAATCACATCCGCTGCCCTCGACCACAAAGCCAGTCACGTACTCTGACTCTGGCGCAAGGACCAAGAACACATTACGGCCGCCATCGAGTAATCGGATTGGCTTCTTGCTCATAATAGAGCAATTTCCCGTAAAACGGTTGAGTGATTTTGCAAAGTTGGTAACATAATCTTCTAATTCACTGGGTATATATGTCCCATATTCCAGGAACAATGCCTCATTTTTAGAAGATAAATATTATCTGTCGGACAAACTGCGTTTAGCTGCTTAATGCTCCACTTAGCTAATAAGACAATAAGACTTTTCTTGAAGTACAAATTGTATATAGTTGAGGGGTCTAAATGAAGACCATGAAGGTGTTACATGCGATGGAATAATTGAAATCGTCATTATAATGTGATTTTAAATGTGTTGCAACAATGACATGAGAGCCAGAGGAACAGACTCACCATGGGTCTGCGGTTTTCCACCAGGTGGATGCCAACAATACCCAGAAAAGCCCCAAAACTCAGCTGTAGGCACAAACAGATCAAAGTGGAAGACATGATTAAAGAAAACACACAAGTGTCAGGACAAAGACGTTCAAAGGATTGAGAATGTGAGACGAGAGGCGTCTGTCACTCACGGTGATGCCGGCGTAATATCCAGCGACAGGCACGTTGTCTGTGCGAGTGGCAGAGATCAGACCCACAGCCAGCACCACCAGAGCCAGAGCCAGCAGGGACACCGTTACCCACAGAGCCGTTTTCCTCCGACGCAGGTAGTGAACTGAGGATGGATGACAGGAGGACCTCTTTACATTCATTTCATCCTGAACTCTTTGAATGACATCAACCTCATTACGAACATAAAGTCCCAAACTCCAGCCACCTTTTTTCCTCAAGAACATGCACATGTGCACAAAAAAATGTCTCTATTGTTCTTTTGAGCCGTGGTGGAAGAATCCAGATCATTGACTGAAGTAAAAGTACAGTGTGACAATGTAAAGCAAGTTAAAACCCTGCATTCATATTCTCACTCAAGCTCAAGTAATTATCAAAATGTACACAAGTATACTTTAGGTTATGGTGGGACTGTTTTATATGCTATTTTCTGGTTTCATTTCCTGTTCAACAAGACATTTTTGTATGTACTTGTTGTTCATTTTGTCATCAATATTTTGTAGGATTTCGTCGTTTTTTTGCTGCCATAGTTTTTCTTTTAGAGCACCGATCAATAAGGGTTTGTGGTAATTATTATAGATTTTTTTTAAATCCTAATCAGCAAAGTAACCCGTGGTGGAAGAAGTACTCAGATAATTCACTGAGGTAAAAGTATACATGTTTAGGCTACTTGAGTAAACACCACTGTAGATGAGCTATATGAGCTTTTTAAGTATTTCTAAAATGAATTATCGATAAATTAGCCCTGTGTTTCCTGCCACGTTCCCTACTCATTAAATGAAAGCACACTATAAGAAAACATGTGTTTTGAATACTGTGTTTATGGTATTAAAGATGCTGCGGTTACTTGCAGCTTCCCGCAGAGTCAGGTTAGAAGACATGTCGTCCTACCTGCTGGATCCAGGACTTCTGTCGTTGTTTGCTGAGTTGTCCGCTGGGTTTCAGGCTGCTGCATTTTGCCTCAGTCCGGATGATTTATCTTTAGAAATGAATAAAAGCAGAGCGGGCAGCTGAAGCGACGCTTTTCTTTTTTTTGTCCCTGTAGATTCAAAACAGAGTCGTCATCCTCCACAGGCAATTACGCTGCGAACGAGATGCTTCTTACAGTTGAATCATCTTGTGATAAATAAGAATGCGGTTTCATATAGATTTTTACAGCTGATTCTGAGCGCAGACGACTTGAACTTTTCTTGAAGCCTGAGAGAGAGAGAGAGAGAGAGAGAGAGAGAGAGAGAGAGAGAGAGAGA